TTTTTGATTACAAAATTTGCATTAATTATCAATTTGTTATTATCAATTCATCATTTTAATGCTATTTAACAAAAATAGTAAATAATTTACCTGAATAAGTATTTTGAATTGCTATTATTATTATTATTACTATTATTTTGCTTCTTCGTTTTGCAAGTTTTAATAAAATTTTTAATTAATACTTCAAAAATAAAAAAAATTTTTACTAATTATTTATTGAGAAATAAAATTTATCTAAAATATCTATCTAAATATATGTAAAAATTTGTTATTAATATTTCAAATTATTAAATAAATTAATTTTTTTGAAGAAGGAATAGTCAAATTTTAGCGATAATTTTAATTTAAAGTTTTTTTTAAATTTATTTAAAACATACACTGAAAATTGTCGTTGCTTCGATTTTTTCTCTAAACATATCACTGCTGATAATGATGAATCTTCACCTAATACACCATGACGATAGTTTTGATGTTTACGTTGATTTGTTTTATGTCTTACCATCGTTACATTTAATTATTCAATGTTGTTGTATACTGTAATTAATCTTACTAAATATATTCAATGTTGCATACTGTAATTAATCCTACTAAATATATGCTATATAATATAGAATGATTTAATTACATTTACAGTTAGTTGTTCAATTTTGTATACTGTGATTAATCCTACTGAATATATTCAATGCTGTATACTGTAATTAATTCTACTAAATATATGCTATATAATATAAAATAATTTAATAAAAAAAAAGATAACGAAAAAATTAAAACAAAAGTAAACAAAACTAATTTAGTAAAAAATTTTATAATTTTTAAATCAAATAAAAAAAATGATAAATTTATAAGCATTATTTTATTGTATTATAAATAAATAAAGACTGAATAATTATAAATATATAAATGACGAATAAATAAAAATAAACTTTTATTATTATTTTGGTATATTATATTTTATTATAAATAAAAATAAAACAAACTGCAGCAAAGCATATAAAAGAAAAGTAATAATATGAAATATGTATGAACGATAAAATAAATCTTAGATCAAATATTCGAAGATATTTGATCATTATTGCGATTATCAATAATTGGAAATCATGAGAATATATATTTTTGTATATACATATATATCATAAAATTAGTATTCTTATCGTTTAATAGAAAATGAGATAGTATAAATTGGCATAGATTAATAAGATAGGAATGAAAATAGCTCTATTAAATAAGCCAAGATTATTGCTATTATTACGTTTTAAAATGGTTTTATCAATTATTTTGATGAAATTTAAATTAGCCAAATAAATGATTAGATCGCATATGAGCAAATGATATCGAATTGTTTCAAGTTTAGGATTACTGTTAAAAGGAAAGAAAAGCCAAGGAAACAAAAGAAAGAGCCAAGGAAAATTCGAGCTTATATTTAATCGAGAACGGTGCTTTTTTGTTTTTTATTGTTATTTATTCTTTATATTTTTTTCATTTAGCTTCTTTTACCTGTTATTGTCTTAATAAGCTGTTTTTGTTTATATAAGATATAAATAATCCAAACTAAATTACTTGATTCATGGCTCAAAAATAGCATCTATCAAAACTTGGCTAATTAAAATTGCAAGGTTAAATTGTAAATGGTATTGACTAATTGATGCAGCAACTTAGGTTCAGTAAATGAAACTATAATTTGCATGCAATTTATCTTTGGATAATAGCAGTTATGAAATAACAAATAATTCAAACTTTTCAAATAACAGTAATTTCAAAAAGTTAGCAAGAAAATATTTGGCATCCTCGCCTTGTATATACTTTCACAAAATAAATTTAAATTTTAAATCTGATCAAGTTTTTTATTTTCTTCGAGAAATCTCGAAATAATCCAGCAGTAATAATCGGCGAAATAATCCATCAATTATATTCCAAATTTAGATTGCTTTTTTAAAAAATTTTAATTTATCAATGTGGTATGATAAGCATAAAATTTTATTTTTGTCAAATTTTTCATTCATTATTTGAAATTTATTACGAAAAAATTTTTTCATATCTTTTTCTCGTTTACTGATTATGTTTTTTCTTTTGCTTTCTTTTTTTTTTAACAACAATTTCAAATATTAACCAAAAATATCATAGTTATCATTTGATTATTATTTATTATGTCATGTAATTATCATAAAATCGATTATGTAAATATTTATGAAATTGATAAATAATTTATAAAATTTTCATCAATATTATAATGCTTTTGATCAATGTCTTGTGGTTTCTTTTTTTTGACAATTATTATATATAATAAATAAATTATTGAAAAGCTTTGAAATTTTCATATTTGCTCAATGATAATTAGTATATTTTAGAATTTGAGAAATAATTATAATAATATATTCATAATATAAAATTATTTTATTTAAAAATTTAAATATTCAAATATTTCATATTTATTTTTTTATAATAAAAATATTTTTTACCAAAAAATTTTTAATTTTCTTCTATTAATTTATTATAACCTTAATTTGATTTATTTTATTTCCCAAATTTTAAGCAATATATTTCAAATTATTTCATTTAATTCAATTAAAAAAATGACGAACAAATAAAGCAAGCATAATTTTAAAATATCACATATCACTGATTTAAAATTCTTTAACTGTAACATAATGACAACGTATTGCACATAATTATCATGATTTTTGATGAATAAAAATAAAAATTGAAAATTCATCTTATTTGTCGAGTAATTTTTGATAGATAACAAATAAGGTAAGTTTTTGTTCATAATTGTTATGCATCTCTTAAATTGATGAATAAACTGATATTCTTAAATTTTACACATCTTATATGATAATACATTATCATTATGATAATAATAGTAATAATAATAATAATAATGATAATAATAGGATCTTACGTCTTATATGATAATAATAATAATAGTAATCACTATCATATCCAATATTTTAATATCATATGATACTGAGGAAGGAAATTTCAAAAGTGAAGCTCGTTTGCAGCGAGTGGGGTTTGAACCCACGAGGACTTAGCGTCCATTGGATCTTAAGTCCAACGCCTTAACCACTCGGCCATCGCTGCTCCGCCTTCCAGTTTCTAGATTTAGTATAAAAAGGTTATCACTAGAATTTGATCAGTCAAAGGTCATGCTGATTTTGTATTTCTATCATCTTGAAATTATATAATTTACATTTTGTTATGGTAATGATTGCAAAGATTATAGAAATGATTAAAATTATGCTGCAAGGAATTGTTTTGTTATATTTCATATTCGTACCATATTTTTGATCTATGCCTAATTTTTCTGTTCCCTTTGATATTGTTTATAAAATATATTTTTAAAACTTATAAATAAAAGTTGATTAAAAATTAGTAATAATATTGTTTTATTATTTTATACTTATTATGTTATTATCATATAAAATATAAGTAATAATAATAATAATAATAATAATAATAATAATAATAATAATAATAATAATAATAATAATAATAATAATAATAAAAATAATAATAATAATAATAATAATAATAATAATAATAATAATAATAATAATAATAATAATAATAATAATAATAATAATAATAATAATATATAATAATAATAATAATAATAATAATAATAATAATAATAATAATAATAATAATAATAATAATAATAATAATAATAATAATAATAATAATAATAATAATAATAATAATAATAATAATAATAATAATAATAATAATAATAATAATAATAATAATAATAATAATAATAATAATAATAATAATAATAATAATAATAATAATAATAATAATAATAATAATAATAATAATAATAATAATAATAATAATAATAATAATAATAATAATAATAATAATAATAATAATAATAATAATACATAATAATAATAATAATAATAATAATAATAATAATAATAATAATAATAATAATAATAATAATAATAATAATAATAATAATAATAATAATAATAATAATAATAATAATAATAATAATAATAATAATAATAATAATAATAATAATAATAATAATAATAATAATAATAATAATAATAATAATAATAATAATAATAATAATAATAATAATAATAATAATAATAATAGTAATAAATAATAATAATAATACCGGAAAAAGAAAGAAAAAAAGTAATCTTTATTCTTACTAGAAATATTCAAATATTTTTGAAGTTTTTTTAACTTCAATTGAAACAAAAAATATTAATGATAGAATTAATCGAAAAATAATTTTATTCATACATTATGCATTTTCGCATTATTTCTATTCGAAAAATCAATCGATTTCACATCGATCGATTTTCATATTTATTGATCGTATAAAACAAAAAAACATTACTGATTTCTCGAATTTTTTCGTTACAATTGATCTCAATTGATCATCGGGTAAGTATTTAAAATATATAATGAGTGTATTTGATGAAAATTTTGAAACTGATTTTAATATGAATATTTAGATTGGATCAATATACATATATATATATATTAAAAATATTGGTCAATTCATTATATCGAGAAATCAATAATTTTTGATTATTTTTTCTATAAAATGAAGAATTATGTAGTTATAAGATAATTGAATTTGAGAAAATAATCATTAAATCGATTTATACTTTAAAAAATCAATAATGTCTGATCACTTGAGCGAATAGATAAATATGGCTATGAAATAACTTGAATTTAAGTTCATGTTGCTAAGCTTATCAAATTTCCAAGTAATCGTGATGAGGAAATGAGTGAATAACAGAAAACTTTTTCGTGATCTAATCATTGACCTAATCATCTATAAGAATATATAATGTGATCTATTTGATCAAATTTTACTGCATGATTCTGTTTCAGCGTAAGTGAAACTTGTTTTACGTAATGAAATACATTTGCAATTTTAATTATGCTTCAACATTTATTATCTTAATAATGATAAATGTTAATTTTATCACTTCAAAATTCATATACAGTTTAAAATTAATTTATATCTTACGTGAGCGTCAGTGGTGTAATGGTCAGCATGGTTGCCTTCCAAGCAATCGACGGGGTTCGATTCCCCTGACGCAGCGGGAATTGTTCTGTCCTTGGGAAAGGTTCGCTTCTGCAACGACGTTTTGCGAAAAGAAAAGATAAAAACATATGTCACAAGTTTTTCCTCTTTATTTTTCATTCATTTAGAATATCATGTAAATTTAGTTGCAATACATACAATGTTATTATATAATTTCTTTTTGGCTATGATTTAGCTTATCCTTTCCATTATTTTCAGACATTTAAATTCAAATTTCCGAAACAATCTTCTTGGAACATTTAAAAATATTACGAACATAAAAATATTTACGATAGGTTGGTAAAAATAAACCAATCTGATGAGAAATAAAATATTGTAAAAATGATGTCTTGACACCTCAATTATGTTGGCATTTGATTGATCGGATTTTTTATTGATTCTAAGAAGTAAGCATTAGCTTATTGTCAATGATTATTGATATTATCATTTTTCAAGTTATCGTAATGAATATCATCGATACTATTTATAAACTCTTAACTGATAAAGTATATATTTGTTAAGAAAAAGTTAAGATATTCTTATTAATAACACTATTTTCTTTGCTCCATTCTAAATTACTCGTAATTTAATCAAACATCATTCATATATAATTCAATATTAATTTTTTTGAGAAATATTCATTATGATAACTTGACAAATAATATCATTTTCAAATCTCTCGAATTATTTAAAGTTTAAATGTTATTGTTATATTAGCGGTATGTTTAATGATTCTTGCCTATTTTGAAAATTTTATTCAAAAAATACGATTTCTTTGAGTTGAGAAATTTTAAACGTTTATAAATAATTTTGCTACTGTAATTTTATGCAGCAATGCTATTTTAAATTTAAAAGAAAAAATTATGAGTGATATTTAAATGCTGATCAGTTACACAAATGAATCGATGAAACAGTAAAATTATCAGGATAAACAAACATCTCCAAAACATTCAAAACAACATCATCCATTCTAAATTAAAATCAAAGCCTTTCATAATTCGTAGCATGCAACGATGACACAACTTTCTTGCAATAGCTAAAATCAAGAAAGTGATATCGCCAGGCCAAAATTAATGACGTGTTTGGAGAAGGGCGCTTTGGTGCTGGAGGATTAAAAGATTTACTGCTAATATTGTAAGTTTTAAAAGAAATAAGATACTTACTTATAAAGATGTGGGGAAATTGGGTTGCGAACATTAATTATAAATATGAGGAAATCGTTTTTATTTTTATTTTTAGTTTAAAAACCTTAAAATTGATTAAAAATTGAAAGAGATTAGTCAGTTGCGAAAACAATTCATGAAGACTGATGAAAGATGTTAATCGTTGTTGGTATTGGTATATCAAATGTGGAATTTTTATGCAGTGTATTAATTTATTTCATAAACATGGAATTTGTGTAATGATATCATTTTATTTTTACTATTAGGTTTTATGTAAGTTGTAAAATATTGAAATGCAAAGATAAGGTCTTTAGTATGATGATGTACATATCATTTAGTAAAAGATAGGAAATCCTGCGCAACATATGCAATTTTTGAGTCGCCTATGGTAAATGATCAAATTTTTTATTGAACTTTTAATTTTATATAACCATAGAAGGAATATAATTTAATTTAATTTATTTTTTTGATGGCTACATCTGAAAAGCATCGTAAATGTCATAATGAATCCAAAATTAATGATGTCGAGGAGGATGATTCCAGGTAAATCATTATGCTGAAATTTCATTCCAGTTGACTTGGTTGTTTCATATAATGAATTTTATGTGATGATTGTTAAAAATATGCTAAGTTTAACTTATAAATTTATGAAGATAGTCTAATAGAAATCCAAACTTTCTCTTTTATAAAATTTTCAGTTTTTCAATTTTAGGGAATATTATAGTTACTTCATTTTCCTTTGAATAACGCTGAAAGAATTTTAGATACGAATGCAGTATCTGCTATAAAGAAGCTGCAAATCCGGTTGTTCTTAGCTGTGGCCATTTTTATTGCTGGGAATGTATTGATACATGGTTGAGCAAGTATGCACGTGGTGAGAAGCAATGTCCCATCTGCAAATGCCACGTACGAGATGGTGGCGTATGTTTGCATATTCTTTTATAATTGTGATAAAAATATCATCAAATGCAAGGCTGTAATATTGAAATTTATAACATTATTGTATCGTTAGTTGGGAAGAATAGATTATAAGAAAATTTAATGCTGTAAGAAAATATGAGAGCTATACTTCCTAGTTTCTTTAACTGTGACTATATCTTTATGTCATTATCGTACATGTGATGTACCTGGATTTTGTTCACATAAGATTTGTCTACCAATCACCATATTTTTGTAAAGTCGGCCTAGAATATACTTGTTTTCCAAATTTTTGGAGCAAATTTGTCGAAATTCTTGTTATTCTAAATAATTAAATGATAGTTTCCTGCTAAAATATAGCTAAATTTGTGTAATAAATTTTCATTGTTTATTGCAGCTTTCTTGATTCTTTTAAAAATCAGTTTTTTTTTTTCAGATCATCCCGATTTATGGTAAAGGGATGGAAGGTCACTATGAAAATCCAAGACCTTCAGCACCTACGCAGAAACCCAATGTTAGTATTCTTTATTATTAGATATGGATAAATCAAGAATAATAATTAAGTCTATCTTCACTTTGTCTCACATGGTGCTTAAAAAATTCCATAAATAATTTTGTATTTATTTCGAAATTGATTCTTTATTATTAATTTATGATTTTAGAATCAAGAATATATTTAAAAAGTATAAAATTTGAAATTATCGTAGTGAGTCCACACATTCAAATATATATTTGTAGATGGATGCATGTGTGTTTGTCACCATAATATTAACAAATCATTTAATTAGTAAGTTCTTAAAATGTCAATATAAAATAATTCAAGAAAGATGAAAATGAATCGCAGTCACCAACTGAAGATATTAACTGGGAAAATGTTTTAAAATTTGGCACCATTATTGCTGGCTTGATTGGCGCATTCGTATTCGGCAGATACACAGGAAAAAGGTAATTTTAAAATTTTCGAATAACTATATCGGAATAACCGAAATATTCATAATATATATATGTTGGAAATAATGAGATATTTGTATTATCACCCGGTATAATGAAGTGATTTTATGACCTGAAATCGTTTTGATTCGTGCAAGAAATTATCCTTTAAAAGGTCATTTTTATGTGAAGGATGTTGTTTAAAGCATTACAATCAATCAGATTTTGACTCCCATTCTTCATATCATCGGGCATTGTTTGAAGCATTGTAAATTATCCATATAAAAGGAAAGCTATCGGTCGAGAGGTCATATTCAAAAACATTCATACATTTTCAGATACACATGTCTGTTTATGATCCCACGGCTCTGCCCTCATTGTGCGTTATCGCGCTTCCAAATTCAGCTCTGTAATTCCAACATCAATAAGCCCCAGATAACTTCCCTGCAATTAAAGGGAAATCGATTATATTATCGATATCCTTCAATTAATTTGTGTATCGTAGTTACGACGAATAAAATCCGTCATAATAAAACTTCGCTACACAACAAATCTTATTCCAAGTTTCCAATTCTTCTACATCATAAACTAAAACTTTCACTATTTTTTTATTTCTTGATATTTATCATAACCAAATTTTTTGCACTATACATAATTGCACTTATCATCAAAAATATACCCATTAAATTTTTTGGAAATTGAGATAAATTATAGCGCCAAAGAGAAACTTTGGAAAGTTTGTTACAGAATAGTATTTGCTTCTCGTTTGCAAATATTTTTTTTTCTTCTAAGCAATAAAGATCTCTTTTAATTCTTGAAATTGCAGGACACGCAAAAATTAGCCTGGCGAGCACGAAAACTTTTTACCTGTCTAATGTATTATTTATTTCTATGATTGTATAACGAATTTCAAAACGTAAATTTTGATATTAGGCGAGCTCAAGTACTGGTAATTGTATTTTTTTTGAATGCTTTATAGTTTAAAGCATCGAAATGATTATTAATTGTATATTGTCCTTGATGAATGCTTTTAGTTGATCTTGTGAAATAAATATTTCTGTCATCGATTTATTGAAACAAATAATATTCTGTATAAATCAGCAATCGCATAAAGTATTTAAAAAAAAATGAAATTCAGGAGGATTGGACGTGAAATTCAAATGAAGCATGCATGATTTCATGTGTGAGTCATTGTTTTGAAAATATTTCCGTATGCTCTTAGCAGACCTATTTTTTCCTTTTATACTTAATATATTTTTTAGGTATTTTTGGAAGTTTTTAATCATTAAGCAAGATAAATTTATATAATTGTTAAAGCTGCAACAATGATTTTGTTGGATAATTGTTTGGAGCCTTTATTGGATTGTTATATAAAAGAACACTGTGATAGGCAGAGGAACTATGGAATTGTTGGTAGTGCTGGATTTTTAATTGGTTCAAAAATAAATGAGGATTTTCATGTAGCACATATTGCCATGTGTGCTTATCCTGATACCATACAAGATGAGGTAATATTTTTTCATAGCAAGCAATTTTTTTCCCACTGACGATTATAACGATGTTTGCTTCTTGATTATTTCAAAATGGAATCCACTGCTGAAATGATTATTAAAAATATATGTCAAAAAAATTTTTTTGATGATTTTTATTGTTATCATTTTTAGATTAGAAATACATTTTGCAGATTGGTGATATTCATTCGAAATCAGTAGATGCTGATTGGATCTCTGATATTGGATCACATGTTCTAAGATTTTTGCCTGGTGGCACCATGATAGTTGGTAAATATTTTCGCGAGTATATTTAGCAAGTCCTGTATATCCAATTTGCTGAATATAAAATGATTTATTATTTTATGAAATAATCATTTTCTTATCAGTTATTTCCCAATTCTAAACTAGATTGATTTCCAGATACTTTGAATTTGCTGATATTTACTCAATGCTTTGTTAAAAAATATATGGCATATGATCGAGTTCAGATTTTCTTTTGTTATTTTAGGTTT